GCAATAGATGCCGTGTGCATTTATAAATGCAAACCGAGTCAAGCCGACTCCGGAGGTGGCGGTATGCACCTTAAAGTTGTTTGAAATCCGCCAATAAACCGAGAGAAGAAGAAGATGAAGAAGCCGACTCCGAGCTGTCCGACTTCAGGCGAGCTTTTTGAGACCTCCCCCGGCTGCGATCGGCTATTCTCGTCTACTTTCGAGGCGAGCCGCAGCTCGTCTCAAACAAGCCTATTTGCTTCCTGGGAAGGGCGGTACTTTTGGGAACTCTCTCTCGCTCTTCCCCGTTCCCAAATAATAACTGCGCAACAACCAGACACATTTCTTCAGGTAGAAAGAACTCGCTAGATTTGTAACCATAAAAGCAGGTAAGGGCTTCTGTCATGTTTGATTTAGTAGGCTATACATCGATATTAAACCTATTTAAATGATATCCAATCGTTATTATGTATATGGCTGCCTGTACTGCAAAACAAGTAAACCCTTACATTTACAACAATGGGTGCACATCAAGTGTGTAAATGATTAATATTTCACGGTTAAATCTCTCCGGAAAATGTGAATTTCTCGGCAACATCTCATCAGAGAAAACAGAGAAAACATACGTATGTCAATCCGGAAGTGAACAAAACAAATAAGATTCAATCTGATGGAGTGAGGGAGATTTCTTATTAAAATGAATACAACTTTATTACTTTTGTCTTCATTTACGGACTGAACGCCTCAGTGTGGCAAACCGTGTCTCGAAGCATACCTACAATAAATCACATTAAACTAATTTATGTTTTAAAAACAAATAAAGTAGCAGGCTTCGCTCCGTTCTTTTATCGAAGCCCATTTCCGCATAAGGCCTTTTAAGGCTAACGGGAAAATGGTAAGAAAAAAAGTAAGACTTGTAAAGGAAAACAAACATTCTCTGTAAGGTTTTAAAAGGACACACTTTATACACAAAAATAAAGACGTAGCCTAGTGTTTAAAACATAATGACTACGTTTCTGAAAATAAAGGCTTAGTATATCTTTCTGTATTATCTATAGGACTAAAGAAATTAGTATATAGATACATCTAGCATAAACCATCTCTTCTGCTTTTGAGATTAATGTATTTAAATGCTAAATTGTTTAATAAATACATAATAGCCTACTAAAATAAAAGGATCTAGAAATAATGAAATAATATCTCAAAATAGCTAACGCAGGTTCTCAACATAATGACATAGTTTCTCAATATAATGAAAAGCATTCTCATAATAATGACACTTCAACTTTATGATAAGTTCTCTCTAAGTAAGTCTCTAAGATTACATAGGCTTATTATCACTTATCACTTCCTCAAACGCAATCACTTCCTCAAACTCATTGTTACATCTTTGAAGGAATTCGATTCACAAAATGTCTCAAAAGGAAAACAATAAACCTGTTTTCCCTTTATTTTCTGTATTATATATATATTACTATAAAAGTTCATTATTTACGCCCTATAGTGGTAGCTGCTCTGTTCATAGTACAGTTTAGCAGCCCCATTTACAAAAGCAACGGTTTTTAGAAACCTGATAGATAGTATCAGAAACCACTCCTGGGTTTACAGCCAAAATGGCAATTTCACAAAACTGTGGCTGAGAAAAAAACGTAATACAGTAAATTAAAAGGTCTCTCTTGTTTCTTTCAGTCTACAGGAGCAGGCAGGATGGCTCTCACAATCTCCAAGACTGAGGGCAGCACTGTAATCACTTTGACCTCTGACCCCCAAAGTGTTTGTCCTCCTCTGTACCAAATCCTCAAAAACCTGTGCTGCAGCCCAATTTGCTGCTCTGTGTCCCAGCACCTGAGGAGGCTCCAGAACACCTCTCAGACAGTACTGGGGGTGAGTTATTTGTCTTTTGTCTTGCAATAAATACATAAAATATAACATTATACTGTATAACAGTTCTGCACCACACAGTGACCTGTTATTTGCTGTTGTACTGTACAGATGTTTGTGGTACATGCTAGGTTTTCTTCTCCACAGACTCTGCAGATTATGGTTGGGCTGCTCAACATCGGCATTGGTGCGATCTTTGCTTTTACTCCCATTTGGAATATGACCGGGTTTCCCTTTTGGTTGGGAGCATTGGTAAGCAAACCAATGCTTATATGTTTTTTCTATTGTTATTTGTATCATAACCAAAGCCCAACAGTACGTTTCTTACAAAATGTAATAAAATAAAATGTATTTTTGTTTGGTTGTCTACTTAGTCCTAAAGAGATTAACCTCAAGGCTTTTTTTTTCAGATTCAGAATCAGATATCCGTCCAAGCACAAATGAATGGCTCAGCTAAAACCAATCACTTCTGTACTGTGCTGTGTTTTGAATATACTACAGACTTCTGCCAAAACCAAAGTTTGTTTTTCTTAATTCTCTAGTTCTTCTTTAGTTCTTAAATGATACAAAGCAGATCATTTATCTCCTATGTAATAGCAGGCTGCACTCACACCCAGGCCAATGTAAACGCCAGATGGGTATGACCTCCCTCTTGGTGCTACAAATGCTGTTCAGTTGAACCAATTAAAGACACTGGAAATTACTTGGCTGAATTTAAGTGTTTGCGTGGAAGAATGTAGTTAAAACATTCTTGTTGCTGTCTCTAGTTCATGTTGTTTGGCATCGTCTCCATTTTGTCTGAGAAGTACCCCAGTCCATGTCTGGTGAGTATGTCAGCTTTTTTACTTGGCACACGCACCATTTTAAGCATTTACACCTACATTGTCTTGGGGAGGGTATAATGTAGGAGCAGTGCCACCAAGCTGTTAAGTGGGAGAAAGTTGGAGGCTTTTGAACTTGATGAGCATTTTTGTCATGTTGTGTTTTTGTGTCTTTCATTCAAGGTCATCGTCAATGTGATTCTGAATCTTGCAGGAGTTGGTTTTGCCATTGCAGCCATCACACTCTACAGCTTCAGAATGGCAAACATGTGGCTGTATTGGTTGTGTGAGGATGATAACTATCGATATTACTCTCATCACTCACCCACTGCCTCTTCTGGGGAAAAGAGAATGGAGCAGGAATGCTTGAGAGTCAAGGACATGATGTTGGTGAGTGTGGAAAATGTCCTTATCCGGATGTTGTCTTAAAAGTTACCATGAATGATCACCATTTACAACTGTTTACAACAGGCTTCACTAAGATTAAACTAATTAAGAAAAATCAGCGATGACAATTATTTGATGAATTAATTAGTCCTTTGACAAAAAAGAACTCACCCATAAGTTTGATAATTAATCAATATATTTGTTTAGTAATATATGAAATGATAATGTCCAACATGAGCTGGTTTTAGCTTCTGAAATGTGAAGATGATTTGCAGCTTTTGGATATTATTGTGGTTTTCTGGTATTTTGTGCCCTGAGTAAATAACCAGACGTCCTGATGACTGGTGGTAATGCGTCGTCTGTATATTAATGGGCGGACAGTTAATGTTTTATATCTGTGCTAGATCAATAGGGGATTTTCAACATCATTAAAATCAATAAGAAGTCCCACAAAAAGCCACATTTGAACGAAATTGTGCAAGTTAGAACACAGTCTACAAATGTAATTATACTTGAATATAACAAGCTAATGTGATTTTAATCTTTAAAGAAAGCACTGCTTCTTGTGTCCCACCAGATGCTGCTGAGGAGCATGCACGGTCTGATGATTGTCCTCTCAACCCTGGAGCTCTGCCTCACCATCAGCTCCGCCGTCCTGGGGATCAAGGCTCTGAAGAGAAGGGGGAAGGACGAAAAGATGGTATGGTCTCCAAAATAACATCTTACTGTCAGAACTGTAAACATTTATATTCAATACAAAGACTCCTTTTCTTTATAAGTTGTTTAAATGTGGCCTTAAGGTTAGAGATTTGAGTATGTCTTAATGATATTATTTTTCTTTTTTTACAAGAATGAGGAACCTGAATACTACAAGCCCCTGCTGGACGAAGTCCCTGGTAACCCCAAGGTCTAGCTAAATAAATCCTGCTTTCTGCTGTCAGTCACAGGTTTTATAATCAAACAGTGGACTGAATGTGCTCTAATGATTTACTCAAACTCAGCTGGTCCTTTCGCTGCCAATCTTCTGGGTCGTTTCCTACATGTTTTGTTTAAAAAACGTTTGCACTTTGCATTTTTGTATTTCAGATAATACGCTTTATATTGGTGTCTCTTTCTTCCGTGTACATGTTTTAAAGCTGTTGATTACAATTGCTATTGAATAAGGTACCTTACGTTTAGCTTGTTTGGAGGTAAAAGGGAGGTTTGTGCGTGTGTGAAATACTGAAAGGGTTTTTCTTTGCTCTATTGCACTATTTAGTCATTTAAAAAAAGTAATGTAATCGAAACTGTTGACTGTCACAATAAAAACACTTGTTCTGTTTGTAGTTTTATTGTGTGCTTTATATTAAACCCCTCTGAGATATTGAATGAGTTCAATACTGTGTTGTGTTATTTTAATACAAATAGGAAAGATAACTTAAGTGTGAGGTTAAGGAAGTATAATTTGAAAAGGTAATTATATTACTCTTAAAAGGAACCTTTTGAGCTAGTGCCACCTACTCTTTATTTATATTTAATTAATATGCCATTATTGCACACTAAATGTAAATCATATCCCACTTTTATATTGTGTGAGCTGTAATTTAGCCCTTCAATAGTGTTTTATTTGTCAGATAGTTTACATATTCTTTCTTCACGGTCAACTTATATATTTTCACTCTTTTAGTTCTGTTTTATCTGCTATTTGGAGATGTTTATATTGCATAATTGTTTTATTTTTTACTATTTCTTTACAATTTGGGATTAATAAAGTATATCTTATTTTATCTCTAATAGGAAAATGTTAAAATTACACAGGTCACACTGCACTTTATTTCCCACTGTTTAATGCCATAATTAATGCCATAATCAATGAAAATCACGCCCAGTATCTTTGTGTGCAGATTGATGATCAGTAAAGGGTCACATTTGCTTCCTGGGAAGGGCGGTACTTCTGGGAACTCTCTCTCGCTCTTCCAAGTTCCCCGTTCCCAAATAATAACTGCGCAACAACCAGACACATTTCTTCAGGTAGAAAGAACTCGCTAGATTTTTAACCATAAAAGCAGGTAAGGGCTTCTGTCATGTTTGATTTAGTAGGCTATACATCGATATTAAACCTATTTAAATGATATCCAATCGTTATTATGTATATGGCTGCCTGTACTGCAAAACAAGTAAACCCTTACATTTACAACAATGGGTGCACATCAAGTGTGTAAATGATGATTTCTCGGCAACATCTCATCAGAGAAAACAGAGAAAACATACGTATGTCAATCCGGAAGTGAACAAAACAAATAAGATTCAATCTGATGGAGTGAGGGAGATTTCTTATTAAAATGAATACTTTATTACTTTTGTCTTCATTTACGGACTGAACGCCTCAGTGTGGCAAACCGTGTCTCGAAAATCCGTGTATCTACCGTCCAATTGTTTTTCTTTATTAAACAAGTAAACGGAAGAGCGTCTGAGAGACGTTTTTGCTTTTTGCTTTTTACCTTACTAAATGGTCAAATGGTCATTGGAGCGAGGGGCGGGGCGAAACTCACGGAAGTGATTTCAAAACAAAAGCACTCGTGTGCTTGTAACGGTGATAATTTATAAACAAGGGGAAACTAGGTGAATTTAGCGATCACAACGAAAACGGCAAAGACACATATTGAGCCCAGAAAATGAATGTTATTAAGGGCTGTAAATATAATTATTTTAATTTTTGTATTTAACCTTTATTTAACCAGATAAAAGCATTGAGATAAAATCTCATTTTCAATGCTGACCTGGCCAAGAAGGCAGCAACGTTACACATAACACATAACACAAACATATAAAATACAGAGAACATAACTAAGAAAACAAAAGACGAAAAAGCAGTCACTACATTGTGCACATTAGGACAGTAAGAAAGGTACACTACTTTTTACTGCAAGAGCAGCTGGTGGTGAGGACTTCAGACAACTTCAATTTAAAGCATGCTATAGAGACAAATGCCCTCAGTTTGAGGCTTGATTGAAGGTCATTCCAAGACCAAGGACCATAATAAAAAAGATAATAAGTCTGTGTCTAAAATGGACAACTTTTACTGTGTATTCTTTTAGTAATCCTCTGTCAGAGTCCCCTCCATAGTACATAATGCATGTTTTCTGCTATCTTTGATGAGTGATAAAAAGACAATTTCACCATTAGTTCTTAATGATATTGATACTGCTGGACTCAGTAGTCTTACACTTACTACCACAATACAATGAAGTACTTCTAGTGTGTTGTTTAAAAAATCCTCTGTCAATGTCCCCTCCTGAGAACAAAGTTTGATGAGGTAAAAAAAGATTGTTGCCATTAGTTCTTCGTGAGATTGACACTGTTGGACTCAGTACTAGTGGAACTACTCCCACAAGTACTATGAAGTACTTTTACTGTGTACTTTTTGAGTAATCCTCTGTCAATGTCCCCTCCTGAGTACAAGAATGCATGTTTCTCTGCTATTTTGAATCAGCGTTTTATTCATGAGACTTATATTGTTGGACAGAGTATTTTAAGAGGATATGACATGATATCAGCACTACTTCCAGTCAGTACTCCGGCAGCAGCATTTTTACACATTGGAAAGTCTTTAGAGTCTGGCCTTCAGCAAAGTGACAAACCCTTGCTGTCTTGCTGTCTTTTAAATAGGACTATTTCTCTACTCCTAGACTAGTTAATTCCTTGCAGTCTTCCATCAGTCATTGCATGTCAGTCAATAGAGATTAAAAAAATGTGTCCAATTCAACAAAATGTTTTTTTGTGAGTGAAGGCCAGAGCTAAATTATAGATGGTTTGATTGTGTAATTACAAGGTGAGAGAAAACAATTCCACATCCTCCTATAAAACGTATTTTATTTCCTTCTCCATGTTATACTTATACTTACTTGTATTAGAACATTTGCATGTTGAACTGCTGGATATCTTCCCCAGCCTCAAGGAAACACAATAAAATAAATGGATTCATAATTTTAAAAAAATGATAAAAATGTATAAATTAATAATGTTGTGTGCCAACATTTCAAATTTAAATATAAAATGAAAAAAAAGTTAACTTTGAAATGATTTCTCACAAAAACCTTTCTAAATTATAGTAAATTGTAAAAAAAAGTTTTAGTCAATATATACGTTTTTCTGCCTAAAATTGTTGAAACTAATGTAAACTATATCAAACACCACATGCATCGCAATTAACCCATTTTTGCCCACTATTTAAATTGACTTTGGTTGAAGTTAACAATATTGATATTATATAGATATATAGATATATAGCATATCATTGATGCAGTCTTTCTGAACACTTTTAAAATAAAATACTGCAAATGAAGAATATTTGTAATGTTCTGCACAGATAGTGCCTTAACTTGAATTTGAAAACACGTGGCAACTTTATTAATACAGCAGATGAAAAGATTTGTGGAAGGATAAATTCTTCATGGGCTTCAATGGCTCTCTAGATAAAGGGTGTTTTATGGTTGCTTGTATAATCCTCAGATAGTGGTTTGTTTAAAAAACTAGTGACATTTGAATAAATATTGAAAAAAAGGGCTCCAAAAAAGGCATATATATAACCGGCCCGGCTTAGCCAGTGTGTATTTCTTCAAGCACCAAGATTCATAGTTTATAAAGTACAATTCTGGGCCATTGTGTTATTTCTCCAAACACATACAGTAAAAATGCCTGTTTTGAAGGAAAAGGACTTTACATTGTATTATACTTAAAGACAGGACTATTCAGTTAAGAGAAGAGAAAAAAAGGAAAGAAAATTGTTATAATGGGTGATGTAACATTAATGACAGATATAATATGAGGTCCTTGGCAGTTGGCACTCAGACTTTAGAGGGGTCATTTTTGTGATCATGGGGCATCACCCTTACAGCATCAGGACAATATCATATGGAGTCAGACACTGGAAGTGTGCTGGAGGCTGATGCGTTGACTGGGACTGATGGAAGGATGAGGCTGATGAGAATGAAGAATCTGCGAGGAACGAACTAGCGGCAGAGAAATAATTATATATTAAAAGACAGCAACATCATAAGAGGCCAACCAGAGTGACAGAGTGTGTCACTTTGCTGAAGGATATTTGTGACCAGCTATCCAGGCCAGACTCTAAAGACTTTCCAAGGTGTAAAAATGCTGCTGCCGGAGTACTGACTGGAAGTATTGCTGATAATATGTCCACCATATCCTCTTCAAATACTCTGTCCAACATAGCCGTGGGAACATGTTTCAAATGGGGGGTGCTGTGGGGATGACACCAGGGCTGGTTCTGACCAATTTGCTGCCCTAGGCAAGATTTTAGCAGGTAATGAAAAACCTCTACAAAAGACCAATACACTACAAACAGAGAAACTTATTGACATGGTGGACAGCTTATATAAAAAGGCTTCAAATGCATTTAGTACTCAATGAACATGTTTGATTTGGGGGGTGGACGTCACATCCTCTAGGGGGGTCCGGGGTATGCCCCCCCGGGAAGATTTGTTTTAACATTTTAAAGTAAAATGCTTCAATCTGGTGCACTTTGAGCAGAATTACTAGACACCTGATCTAGGGGGTACAACTCTAAAACACCCAGATGGAAAAGATCGGTTTATATTTTAATAATCAAATAAGTATGTGAACATAACCAATAGCCTACCATAGCCAATAACAAATAAATGTAACGTATTTCATTTTTGTTGTTCATTCATATCTTATTTTACCAGTTAACATTTATTTATTTATGCATCTTTTTTAATCTCTCCAGTTTTAAACGATATTTTTGGTTTACTGTCCTATAGTATACATTGGAATGATTTCAAACCTGTTTTTATTTATCCTAATCATTATAAAGGAGTGCCTTGGAAATATTTGTTTACATAAATTGTGATCAAACCGTTTGAGACCCACTGAGATAACTTAGACTAAAGTGAACTATCTAAACCCTCAGAGTCCTTTACCTCACTGAGCTGTAGTTATCAGCCTCTCAGTCTGACAGGAGAGAGCTCTCCTCCACATTATTGTAGAAACAGCTTCTTTTATCCGTTAGCGCAACAGAAGCTAACAACAAGCAGTATTAACCAGTGCATGAAGTAAAGTAAAAATAATCCATTAGAAGTAAAATCCTCATATATCATATTATTGTTTAAAACCTAAAAAGACCTCCTTACATAGATGTTCTTAGTTTTTGGCTGTGGGTGTCCTAGCCTCCTGCTTTATGAAGAATAGGACGTGTATTGTAAACCTGAATATATACACTATATTTAAAGTAATTCAGCCACTTCAGGGGACCATGGGACTCACATCAGTTAGCATCAGAAGTAAAAAGGCAAAAGCGTTTAAAACTACCATTTATCAAAGTATTTTACTTAGAAAAGCTGCAGTGTGACCCACATACTTTAAGAGTCGTGTTTACAGAGTCAATGTTACCCAACACAAGATCAATTGTTCCTGTTGAGCTACACCTCCCTTTTTGGTCCCATTTGCCAAATATTGAAAAATAACCCAATAACCTACATAGATTTATTGTTTTATTCCGGGATGGTGAAACTTTAGAAGATCCAATACTGGACGAATACGTAGATTATATTTCCCACTCATGGATTTAGGCATCCATAGCTGTGGGAACATGTTTCAAATGGGGGGTACTGTGGGGATGACACCAGGGCTGGTTCTGACCAATTTGCTGCCCTATAGGCAATATTTTAGCTGGCAATAGGTGCGTTCACACCGGAGTACTTTGGTGTACTTTTCCCACAATAGTTCATCAGAACTACGATATATTTGCGTTCACACCAAAAAGCCCCAGGAACTAAAGTAGCTCAAATTAGTTCGTCAGACCCGCTTTTCAGTCCCTGCTAGAGAGCAGGGACTGTTGTGGGAGAAAGTAGTTCGTACGTCTGATTGGCTGTGCGGAATGCAAACCACGCCCGTTTGACTCTGAATTTTTTTTTGGAAGCGGCCATTGTATTTGCTCGCTTACCCGAAGAGATTACTTTTGTGAAAGCAGTTATTATAGCAACACTAAA